AGAACAAAACACCTGAAGATAAGCTTTTCCCTACTTATTAAAAATCAGCAAAAATAACTGACATTTTACTCTATTCACCTTTCTTTTATATGAAAATGAGCACAACTAGAGTTTTGTGACCTTACCAGGGTCTTCTGAGGCTCATAAAGAGCTCTTAGCCTTTCACAAGCAATTACTTCAACTCACTATATTACCATTGTTGTTGTTGCTGTTGATTCATAAATTGTTACAATTTGCTTCTTTGTCCTTCTAACACTATCCCTGATATTCCTTTTTTTTAAAAAAATTAAATTTGTTGGGGTGACATTGGTTAATTAAATTATATAGGTTTCAGGTACATAGTCCATTCTCTGTGTGTTCACCACCCCAAGCCAAGTCTCCTTCCAACACATCCCCCGACCCCTTTACCTTCTTCTGCTACCCCCTTCCCTCTGGCAGTCACCGTACTGCTGCCTGTGTCCATGAGTCTTTCTTTTTTCTTTGCTTAATCCCTTCACCCTTCTCACCCAGTCCCCAACCCCTCCCCTCTGACAACTGTCAGTCTGTTCTCTATATCCATGATATCCTGGATATTCCTAAATCATCCTTGATCTGGTAATAATAAGATGTTCCTTTGTAATCCTTACCTTTCTCTCTCTACAAGATATGGAATCAGTTATTCTAATTTTATTTAGAGAAGAGAACAGTATCAGAGAGAAACATGTGAGCATTTGGTAAGATGAGTATTGGCCCAATTTTAGTGTCAGAACTGGGAAAAAATGTGTATCAAGAGAATGTATTTCCTCAATTTAACAGAACATATTGCTGTCCCTCTTCCAATGGTATGAAGTTTCCATTGACCATCAAAGTGTTCTTTTATATTGATATATTTACACCCAAAATTAAAATACCTCTAATTCCAGCTGTGGGCTGCTAGCCTAGGTGAGATGGGTAGACTGCCCGGTGAATGGCATTGCCACAGGTGCCAGGTGCTCTCTGTGGGTGCAGTATTGCACCAGGTGCTGTGAAAAGCAGGGTGACATATGAAATATGGCCCCTGGCCTCCAGGAATGTACAGAAATCACTTATGAGGGTGAAACAATGAGAAAATGATATCAACTATCATTTAAGCAGTGCTTGCTGAAACTGGTGGTGCAAGCAATAGATGGGGAAGGAGTTGAGAGAAATGAGAGTGTGAGGAGAAGCAAGAGGGCTTGGGCCACCTTGAAGAATGGTTGAACTTTAGATAAATGCAAGGTGTACCTTATCACTGGAAACCACCTTCCACACAGAATTAAGCAGCCCATGGAGCATGGTGTTAGGTTGTATATGAGGCTGCTGACAAACGAAGCACAATAGAGACACTGGCATATGGGGAATTGAACATGGTGCCTAAGAATGAGAGAAAATAGATAGGACTTTGCTGTCCTTTTGAAATGGCAGTGAGAAAGCGCATTACAGCAAGGTCAGAAACCCATTCCATGCAGTTCATAGAAGGAAATACTTTAGGGTGCATTAGGAGTCTAGAGACCCTTGTAACTTCTATCTCTTAATGCTTTTAGAAACAACAAAAGGCCAGTGATCTTGCTTCCTGTCTGGCTGACCCATTCTTCTCCATGTACCACCAAGTGCCCCTGCACAAACCTGTTCCATTACCAGTTCTGTGCATTTAACTTGCCCTGCTTAGCTGGGGAATATCCTACCTCTGGCGTCACCTTCGTGTGTTTTCTGTCCCACTGCTCCCAAACCTGCTAAGAGAAGTGATTTATTTCCTCCATGGTGCTCTCATAGCATTTCATATGACACCTCTGTGCTACTATCTATCTCACATATTATTATTGACTCTCTACTTGACTGCCTCTTCATAGTTAGTAAATATGTTAGGGGATGTACCTTATTTATTCTCATCTGTAATCCAAGTGTCTAAGCACAGTATTTGACACTCACTGTGTAGTCAACAGATATTTGTTGGATTAATTGATAAATGAATGAGTGAATGAATGAGTGAATACATTTCACTGCCATTTCAAAAGAACAACAAAAAATTATCTATTTTCTCTCGTTCTTGGGCACCATGCCTCAGGATTGACTCTTAGGTGACTCCAGGGAATTGATGTATACTTTTGGATTTGGTCATTCCTTGTTTTTGACCTTGATAGAGCTACCATTAATTTTCAAGCATTAAATTGGAAGACTAACAGGTAAAATGTCATCCCTAAATTCATAGACCAAATCTTAGTTTGTCTTGGTTTCAGTTGTAATATTTCTAGCCAAGCCTTGTTTTGATAAGAAAAGGGAGACCTGGGAAACCAGCTATAAATCACTTGATATAATATGTCAAGTCATCATTTAACAATTTCATAGAGGCAAAACTTGGAGATCCAGAGACTCAATGATGAGGCTTTATTAGGAGCAGAATCTTCTAATGATTACTATACTAAAGCTCTTTGCTACAAGATGGCTTCCAAGTGCACAATTGAAAATTGTTGTGATAGTTCTGAAATGATTGGCTGTATCAAGTTGTGTGTCCATGGCTAGGATATCTCTGGAGATCATTTGAGGTCTTTAGAGATGATGGGAAATCTTTGGGGAAGGACAGTAACCCAGCTGCCACCTGACCCCACCTGGAAGGAGATGGTATTAAGGAGGGTGGTTATCTCTGTTTTTGCTTTCTTCTTTGTACTATTTTTTAAACCATAGATATAAAAATAGTATAAAAATTAACAATGATTGAACAGTTTCCGTTCTATGGAAGTTTCTATTGGAAACGTGTGCTTCTTATTCGGCCTTTTTGCTTTCTTGTTTCCTAGTGGTTTTGGCTCTTGATCCACAGAACTCCCCTGGTCACTGCTTTAACACTCCAAATTGTTACAAAAAGGCAAAGAAGATTTTATCACCAGAAAGATAAAAGAAGACTTTTTTCTATGCCTAAACATATGCAGATTTATCTATATCTATATACATAAAATATATGACTAGAATCATACGATATAGACTATCTTGCAGTGTTCATATATGCATGAGTGTATGCATACACGCATATATACTTAAAATTACTAAGTATTATATTTTACAAATGTGAAATAATATACTAAACTCAGGCTGTTTGGAAAGATATTCTGCTTGCGTCCAGCATTCCACTATTACAATTAATATGCAAAAAAATATTCTTGTTCATATATCTTTGTGTTCTTCCCAGATTATCTTCTTAGGAGAAATCCTTAGGAATAATATGGCTGGATCAGGAAGTGTGCATGTGTGAGTTTTAAAGAGATTTTCAAATTGTCCTCCTTGAAAGGTTAGCTAATTTCTACCCCTGCCAACCGTAAATAATAGTGCCTGTTCCTCTCCCCCCTTGCCAATAGAGTATTGCCAGGATTATTCACATTTATCAGTCTGAGAGCCACAAGTGATATCAATTCACTTTTTGGGAGGTTACCAGTAAAGTTTAAAATATTTTCATGTGATAATTCACCATTTATTTCTGTTTATCCTCTCTCTTTCACATTTTTAAATCAGAGTCCTTATTTTCATTTTAATAATTTAAAGACATTCTTTGTGTTAACCTTTTGTTGGCCCAGATGTAGCAAATAGATTCCTCAGATTTTCAATCATTTTCATGATTTTACTTTTACTATATGAAAACACTTGAGTTCTATGCAGTTATGTCTACCAATCTTTCCATCATACCTAGATTACCTAAATTTTCCATCAAAACAAGAGAGTGCATCACCATCTCAAGAGTATGAAAATTCAGTCTGGTCCCTTCATATGCCCAGACAGAGTGTAGGCACTGCTTCTGTTATCTTTCCCAACTCTGCCTGCAGCCTTTTGAGCAAGAACCTGTCATTTTCACTGTTCGGTACCACAGATTCTCAGAAACTAATTTTATTACCTGACATCATTCCTGAGTAAAAGTCAAAAGCTCTATCACATTTGCCACATTCCTGAAAATTCCAGGAACTCTTATCCCTGAGCTCATGGTATTGGTTGTGTTCTCTGGGTTGGGGATGAGCAACAAGCTCTTGCTGAAAAATTTGGCCAACTGTACTTGAGAAGCTTATTATTGGTATTTTTAATTATAAAAATATTATAGTATGTGGGGTACTATTCACCTGGAAGAATGGATTTTCATATGGTGAACAGTTACCCCAAGTCCTACCATCTTTGCCATTGGTAACATTTTAGCATGTTTCCTTTTGCTTCTTCACTATATATACGACACCTTTTTGTGTAATTGAGGTCATATTTATGTGCCATTTGTGTGATGCTTTTTCCCTCAACACCATATTATTAAGGATATTTTTAAAGGCTTTTAACTAGTTGATTGTTTTATTCTGTAGATAAATCAACTATTCCCCTATTGTTTGTTATTTGGGCTGTGTCCATTTTATTATTGCCATTACAAATCAGGTTAAAATAAACATTTCCGTATGTGAATCTCTGTCTACAATTGGATGGAGGGATACAATTGACTTTTATTTCAATTGATTTGCACTGTTAAATTTCATTTACGGGAGGGGGGAAAGATTGTAACATTTTACAACCCAACCAAAGGGATAGGAGTGAATATGAGAGGATGATTATGTCTATTTAATATTATTATTCTATCAGTTCAAAGTTGAACTAACTGTGGAAACTGAGATACGGACAGATAAACGTGCCTTGTTGCTGGTAATCCTATCAATTGTGTTTGGCGTTGGGAATCTGTCGTCCTCTCCACCCAGCCAGGACCTTTCCTACTTTACTCGAGACCCATGGAAATGTGCTGTCCATGAAATTAGAACAGGAGCTCAGCAGCACCATAAAAGCTCCTACTGGTGCCTGGCTCCCTCCTGTGTTTGGTCTTCCCCTCCAATAAGGGGTGGTATGGCCAAAATCACCAAACCGGATCCATGTTTGCCTTGCAAACCAAACAAACACTTCTGTTTCTGTTTTGCTTTGTGTCTGGACTGACTCTTAGCACCTCTTCTGCCTGTGAGGGATTTGTCACTTCTCCTGCAAGACTGGCCCCGGCAGAAATGCAGTCTCAGAGGACCCCTGGGCGAAAGCGAGGCCGACCCCCACTGCACTCAACACCCGTGACGATGGCAGTTCACAACCTTTATTCTGCTTCCGCTGGTTCTTTGCCAGCAGTGAAGATCCCAAAGAAAAGAGGGCGGAAACCTGGGTACAAGGTACGGCTCCATCACCCCGTTCCTCCGCGGTGCTGCCGGGCTGGGGCACGGGTGTGTGGACAGAGCTCCACTGGGGAATGTGAGGAAAGGTGGGGAGCTGGGGAAAGGCGGGATCCATACCTCTCTGTCGGTGGAGCTGTGAGGGCCGTGGCCTCGTGGGTACACGGTGCATGCTGTTGCTGTCACGAGCATTTTCACAAATGGACAGAGCAAATTACACCAGATTGGGGGAGCTGTCAGGCGAGACCATTTTTAGAGTCAGAGCGAAAGACACATTAGGCAGCCTCACCTCTAAAATAATGTTTCCGACACTGAGCTTTCCCCTAACTGTGCCTTTTGGGGCGGCTCTGGAAACCACTTCCCAGAACTCATTCGTCATTTATTTTAGTAGAAGCAGATGATGTCCACGAGTCACTCACACTAATAACGAGAGCAGGCGAGTGTCAAAGGACACAGGAGAGTGTTCCCCAGTAGAGCCTCAAGGAGGGGACTCATCCTGAAAAAGCCTGGTGTGAATTCATGGTTTCCTGCTTATAAAAGCTGTTGACGTCATTTGGCTCCAAGGAGGCGTCTCAGGCAAAGTTAAAATCCTGTGACCCTTTTACGAATTAAGGTTTGGAGAGTAAATTCCCCACTGTGACTGCAGTCACAGGGAGCAACCCAGACCCGCAGACGAGCTTCACCCCTAAGATGTGTTTGCAGACCCTGCCGGAGAGGAAAGACCAGCTTGTGCCCCATAACCCTTTGGGCATCAGAAAATGAGCTTCAGGAATTTCCCTTCATTTACTTGTCTTGAAATAAAGAGCTTATGTTTCCATCTTGAGATCTGAATGCTCAAACCAAAATGCAAATTGGCAATTAACTCCCATAAATTTAGGGAAATGTATGGAAATTATTTCAGGTGAGCAGAGAGACGAAGCTTCCGAAGAGCTGGTTATGAATTCAGCCTTTATCCCTTTGGTTCTCTGCACTTCTTCCAATTGCTGGAAATGAAAAACGGTAGGTGGGGGGAAGTGACTCAAAGTTATTTGGGGTTCGTTGGTTTTAGGAAAACTTTTTAGGTAAAGTCTTTTGTCACTGGTTATTTTTTAAAAATATATTTTTTATTGATTTCAGAGAGGAAGGGAGAGGGAGAGAGAGATAGAAATGTCAATGATGAGAGAGAATCATTGATTGGCTGCCTCCTGCACTCCCTCAACTGGGGATCAAGCCTGCAACCCGGGCATGTGCCCTTGAGGGGAATCAAACCCAGAACCCTTCAGTCCACAGACCAATGCTCGATTCGCTGAGCTAAACCAGCCAGCGTTGTCACTGGTTATTTTTTCTAATGAAGGACCCCCCTTTTCCTCATGGGCACCTCAGCTTCAGAACTGTCTCTGAAGCTGGCCCAGGGCAGGTCTCCCGCTCAGCTACCTGCCCAGTGGCCCATGGCTGGGAATTGCATCTGGAAGGCTGGACCGGCCAGCCTTTCTGTTTATAGAGCCAGGGAGCAAATCCAGGAGCCGAAGAAGAAACACACTGAAAAGCCTTCTCTTCTGTTTGGCCTTTCTCCTACTCCCCTGGGAGCTGTGACCCAAGAATGAAAATTACTGACAGACACAGCACTTCTGGAGCCAGGAAAAATGGAAATTCACTCCATGGAATGAACCGGACTTTGCAATTTTTCTGTCTCCTACAAAAGGGCAGTTTTCAGTGCTCCGAACACTCAGAGACACCTTGGGGCAGGAAGAAAGCTTTGGGATGCTAAGCAGGCGCCGCAGGCCAGCACCAAGGAGGCAGGTCTCATGCCCATGCCTCACACAGTTTCTTGCTAGAGTCCACCTCCCATATACTTGGGGAAATGAGTGGGAATTATTTCAGGCCAGCAGCTCCCAGACAGCTCCCCAAGTGTCAGTGAAGAATGGCTCCAAGCCAGGTGTCCGTCTGCATGAAGTTCCGACCCACTTATGACACGAGAAAAATAAGAACCATCCGAAAGGCTTCATAAAGCCAAAATGATTCCACTTTAAGGGTTATCCTTTACTCTGACATATTTGCTTCCTACTATTTTGGTGTTAACATTTTTTTTATTTTATTAAGTGTTGCGTGTTGTCAGGATTTGCTAATTTTAAAAAAGGTCCTATTTGGTGAAACAAAGTTGGCAAACTATTAAGTCTCTCCAGCTTTATGTTTGCAGTTTCTTAGACCCTGAGGCCCCCTTTGCTATTAACAAAAATGTTTTAATTGTGGAGAAGCTAGCAAGGAAACGACACGGTTTCATTACATTTACCAAATAACCACCCATTTGGCGATTTTAACAATCTGAGACACCGTTGGGTTGCCAGAAGTTGCTAAAAAAAAAAAAAAAAAAAAAAAAAAAAAAAAAAAAAGCTGAGCAAGCAAAATAAGATATTACTTGGTCTACTCTTAAAGATCTCGTATTTTATTACCAAGAAAATGCTTTCAAGCCCTCCCTGAGTTTGTTTACTTTTACTGTAGACACATGTCTTACAAGCTCGATTATAGCAGTTTATTAATAGCCTTAGATTTGAAAGGGATGATGTCTGGGGAGAGAAGACTACACACACAGCTGGACACCGAGGGAATAATAATAATTATCATCATAATTCTATGATCATGTGTTATTAACATAGAACAATAACATATGCAATAATATTGACATTATAAAATAATAAATAACATAATTTTGTCACACCAGTAATAACATTATGATATATTTACACTACTAACACTATCATAATAAGAAGTGTTTGAGCCTTCGGCAGACTCGGCAGACTCAGCAGACTCGCCCCAGGAGGTTCTCAGAACAGCTGGCCGTGCTGACTGCATCACAGGGCTGTGCTGCTTGCTGTCTGTCACTTCGTGCCTGGTGCTCTCCCTAGCTGCTCTGTCAGTCATGTGCTCCTGCACATGTGGAAACTCTCTCTGGCCCAAGTAGGGAGCAAGCGTCTCCTTTAAGACCAATAACAGGTGGTGACATTTAACCCCTTCTCTGAGTCTTGAATGAATTATAGGCAGAAAAGGGAAAGTTCAACTGGCTGTCAGTGCTCCCGAGTTCATAGGTCGTCGTGGCTCCTCCCAGGGCCCATCTGGCCACCTCTCTCTTCGCCCACCCTGGCTGACAGCCACGTTGCTGGGACAAGCTCACTGCTGTGAGAGGATCATTATGGCTTTACTGTCCCCTCCTCATCCACGTCAAAGGAAGCAAACACCTCTTAACACTAATTTTCTCTGAAGAGCTGTACCCGGACTACCATGCAAAAAGACGTCTTCCTTATCAAACAGAATTTTACATCTCATTTGCAGCATCTGCTATTGATTTAGGTCCTTAGACCCCATGACTAAAAAAACCCAAAAACACATTGAAGACTTTTTTTTAAGAGATAAAGAGAGCCGAAGCCGGTTTGGCTCAGTGGTAGAGCATCGGTCTGCGGACTGAAAGGTCCCAGGTTGGATTCCAGTCAAGGGCGTGTACCTTGATTGCGGGCATAACCCCAGTAGGGGGTGTGCAAGAGGCAGCTGATCGATGACTCTCTCTCATTGATGTTTCTAACTCTGTATCTCTCTCCCTTCCTCTCTGTACAAAAATCAATCTATATATATATATATATATATATATATATATATATATATATATATATATTTTTTTTTTTTTTTTTTTTTTTTTTAAAGAGAGATAAAGAGAGAGGGTCTGCACCAAGGGGAAAGCCTAGCTCCCTTTCTGTAGACATGGATGACTCATGTCTCCACGTAGCAAGTTTTTCCATTTCTGTGTCTTTATGATTGGAATTCTTATTTAAGCAGAAAAAAAAAATACTGGACTTTTAAAATAGCCATTTGTCTCTGATATATAATAATAACTAAAACTAATAGCAATGATATGTAACATTTGTTGAGCACTTCTTTGTTTGTGGTTCTAGCCTAAGCACTTTGTGTGCATTTTCTTATTTGATCCTTGATGGTTTGGTAGTAAGGGGAGTTAGAAAAATGGCATGAATTAGGCATGAATCAACCAACCCCCAGAGCCTAAGGCCACTTATTGTCAGGCTAGCAGCCCTCTACCTTTTCATTATCTCTTTGTATTATTATTCAGAATAGTAGTTACCCTTTCTGATTCAAAAAAGAGTAAATTATGTTCTGTCTGCTCAGTTTAATGAGTTAGAAAAGTGTAACATGTTCTAGAAAGAATTTCATTCCTTAAATATTAAAAACAAATGGTTAAAATGTTCTTAAGTGTTGGCAGTTATATTATTCCGGATACAAAGTCCGCTGCTGTAATGGTGGCTTAAAGACAATAGAGGCTAATGTTTTCTTTCTCATGTTAAAGTCTGGGAAGGCCATCTGGTACTGATACAATGGCTTGATGGTAATGGGGACCCAGGCTCCTTCTATATTGCTGCTCTGCCATCTCAACAAAAGTCCCTGCTTCATGCTCTTAAATGACTCCTTCAGTTCCTATCCCACACCTTCAGCCAGCAGAATGGTGACAGAGCTAGTGGAAGCATGTCTTTCCTCTTTAAGATCCCAGCCACACCCTTATACTTGCATCTTTAGCTGGCCAGACTCAGTTACTTGGCCTCACTTAACTCCGAGGAAGATGGGAAAATGTAGTGCTGGGTGACCAGGTGATGAGCTAAAATTCAGAGGTTCCATTATTAAAGGAATAGGGAGCATGGATATTTGGGAATAATCAGCAGCTGTATCGCTTCTCGGCCTTTTGGCTAAGATCAAGTGTAGTATCAGGAGCTGTAGCTAAGTACTTAAAGGACAGTCTTCTGTTTATTCGAAATTTTACTTTTAAGGAAAGTAATTTTATAATGAATATGGGTCAACACAATACTTGGTTTTGTTTCCCTTATCTGATTGTCATCTCCTCCTTTCTACCCCAAAGTATATACTCTTGGCACTGAGTAATAAGAAGTCAAATTCACAAAAATCTCAATTAAGAGAATGTTCAAATTTAAGGAAACAGGGTTTTGTTTGTTTCAACACTTCTTTGAAGCATCTTTCTAAAATGTGTTTTCATTAGAAATGTTGAATTGGCTTCAATGCTCCTTTGGTTATACAGATCTTATATGCTTGAAAATCATATATTTGAGCACTAAATGCAGCTTAATAGCAGGCAAGGGAAGAATTGATATTTAATAACTCCCTGTGCCTATTTTTAAGGTCCCTCTCTTGCTGATGACAGGTATGGAGTGCCACCTGTGGTTCATGGTGGAAAATGTCACACGGGCACAAGGCAGGGGCCATTTCCTCCGCTGGACAGTATGCATGCAGCACCGATGGCAGGGGCTCTCTCCTTTGAACTCCTGTAGCCCCCCCAGGCCTCACCCCAGGGCAGGGGTAGGGGTCAGTGTTGGGTTCAGCCATAGGTCAGGGGCAGTGGTAGGCTGGCAGATGTTTCCAGCATTCTGAGTGTAGCTCCCTGTGAATGTTAGTTGATATTTTCGCAGATGTTAAGGAGTAAGACAAACGTAAACAAGTGAAGTTGTATGTTGGAACTTCTTTCATCTGTCAAGGATGTGAGTTCTTTGCTGAACTGGATAATATAGTTTTGAACTCAAAAGGTATTTCAATTTCTTGTCCTATTTACAGTGTAATACTAGACACACTTTTAAGTTTAGCCTGGATTTTTAACAATTTCTTAAATCTACAAATCAGTAAAGTAATAATTCCAGTCCTAATTTGTAGCATTTGCCAATTTCCAAGGTATAAATATTCCCAATATGGCCAATTTCAAATCACCAGTGTGACATCTCTGAACATGGTTTTGAGAAAAGATGTGGAGCAACCAACTCTTGCATCTGTATTTCCATATTTGCATACAGATACAACTGTAGAATAATTGGAAAATGATGAGTTTTGAGTATCTATTATCCTTGTTTTTAATATACTTTAATTAATACCCTAAGTACATGTATTCAGTCATTTTAAATAATGGCTGTATTTAACATTCAACTTGCAATATGACTGGAAATTTAACAATCATCTCTGTGGACCCAGATAAGCTGGCTCCAGCATCCCCTGCTCTGAGCTCTGCTGTGCACGATGCCTGAGGCTGGATGTCCCATGTCCCCTCTTCATCTGCAGGGCTGGCTGCTTTGACTCATGCCTGATGATACATAGAACTTGGCCCCTCACCAGTTTCTGTAAGAAACCCAATCACACCAAGCATTCCTTGCAATATGTTGTCTCTACTAAAGATTGTTGGGGTCGCAGGACACAGTGGACAGGATACCACCACATAATGCTCACAGACAGAGCTGGGGTTTTGAATTCCATTTTATCTAGTGATGGAGTCTTTTGTTACCCTTTTTCCTCCATCTTTCTCTGCATGCCCATGGAGTATTCACTTCATTGTCTTCTCACTTGGGTTCTTCTGTCAGGAGGAAATGCAACCACTGTTCCTCTCAGCCCACCTCAGGTAGAGCCTCAGCATCCCATCCTCCCTCCCATCCTCCCTCCCTCCCTCCCTGCCTCCCTCCATCCCTCCCTCCTTCCCTCCTTCCCCCCTTCACCCCTGCTGTACCTCAGCAGTTCCAGCGCCACTCAGGGCCCAGAGGAGAATTTGAACCCCATGCAGTGTTGGTGGGGAAAAGATCCAGCTTTCACACCCTATATACTCACCCCATTTGCACCTCTGAAAGGCACGAGGACACTGGACCACTCCCTTCCCACATCCAAGCATCCCCTCTGTCTTCACTGTGATGCAAGCAGGATATTGGACTCAGATAATACGTTTTCCTAGGGAAGTTTTAGTGCAAATAGTTCTCAACCAGGATCTTAGATTTGTCTGACATGTTGCCCAAGCAGGTCTCAAGGGCAAAGAATACTGGCTCCTCCTTCCTTTGGTGTTTAATCTCTCCTCCAAATGCAGGGAGGAAAAGGTATGAGTAGGCCCCAAAACAAGCTGACTCCTAGGAATGGAATTAAATCATCGGCTACAAACTTCTTGTTATTGGAGCTGATTTGCATTTTCAACAAGTAGGTTTTTAGACCAAAATCTGAGGTTAAACACTGTGAGGTACTCAATTTCCCCTAACTCTGCTCCCTACAGCACTTCCTCAGAACTCTGCCCAGGTGGTAAGGGTATAAAGAAAGAGTAAGCCTAAAGGAGGAATCCCCAAGGAAAACTATAGGCAGGGACATGGACAAAGCTGTGGGACACAGCTTCTCTTTCCTACCGGTGCTGGATGAGGAGAGGGCAGATCCCAGCACATAGGGAGATTTAGGCCACAGCCCAGCCGGTGAATTATTCATACCTCCGTGGTGTGCTGTCTGGCCCAGCATCTGTATCTGGCTTTGCTGGCCGAGAATCAGCTGCTATATGTCAGAGTAAGGTGTCCTGAGCAGTAAACTTTCTTCCAGCTTTATGTCTGCCTCCTTCCTCTTCATTTTACCCAGTTTATTCTTCCAGATCCTATTTTTAATATTTCAAAATAAATTCACTAAGAGAATAATTTTAGATTTAGGAAAGAGTTGCCAAGATAGATAATTCTCATATACCCATACCTAGTATCTCCTATTGTTAGTATCATATATTACTGTGGTACATTTGTCACAACTGCTGAACCATCATTATCAAATAATGTCCATATTTTGGTTCAGATTCATTAGGTTTTTTCCTATTCCATTTCAGGATCCATCCAGGACACCACATTGCACTTAATCATGGTATCTTCTTAGGCTTCCCTGTGCTATGAAAGTTTCTTAGACTTTCCTTGGTTCAAATGAAGTGCTGGTTAAGCTGACCTCTGAGTGTGACCCCAAACATGAATCTTGGATATGGACACGAATCTGAAGTTCAGCCCACAAAGCTGCAGAGTAGAAAGGGGTGGCAGCGTGATAGAGTAGCCAAGGTTAACTGCCACCCAGGAAATATTCTGGTAGGGTGTAGAGAGCATTCCATATTTTCATTGACCAAATGGGCTCTTTCTTACAGCTCAAGTCTCCAGTTCTCCTGACTCCGTTGGCCCTCTCACCTCTACGGAGTACGCCAGAGCCCGACCTCAGCTCCATCCCTCAGGACGCAGCCACCATCCCCAGCTTGGGAGTCCCTCAGGCTCTCACAGGTAGGTCAGGAGAATGAACTCCAAGGCTGTGATGGCCTGTCCATCATTGAACAGTTTCTTTATGAATTAGAGAGCTGTCATCGACATAGCTCAAATAAAGGATTTACTCTGTTAGCTAGACAGCAGATAGGATGACCAGATTCTCTGAGAATGTGAGTTTAAATGTCTCACAGTTTGGATTATGTGAAGCTTGGTTTTCAGTGTATCTTGGGTTCAGCTGGTTGCCTTGGGGTGGGACTGGGAGAAGTAGCTGGGGGCCTAGATTTTTCTTTCCAAATCCAGGTTTACTTTGCACCAATGATGAGCCTGCTTACCTTGAAGAGTTTCCACCCCTATTTGTACTTCCAGATCTCCCAAGGATCCTAATCTCTGTTAATTCCACCTGGCACCTTCCAATTCGGTCAGGGTAGCAGTCAGCCCAGTGTCTCTCATGGGACATTCACCAACCAGCCATGGTAGGAATAGCAGCAATCAGATTTTGTCACACACACACACACACACACACACACACACACACACACTCCCTCCTACACACTCTCTCCTCATCACAACCCCACTGCACTGCCCTCTTCCCTCTCACCTAAATTCCTTCATTCTCCTCCCATTTATGGCCAAGAAAGCCCTGTAAGTTTCCTCCCTCTGTGATCCAGCCCACTGCTCTGCTTAGTCCCTGGGGCCCACCACAGGATCTTAGCACAGTTTCTTCTCTCCAACTGGAATGATCTTCCCTCCGGTCATCCTATGTCTCCCTTGTATCTCAGCTTAGGCACACCTGCCTCCCTCATGGGCCTCTTGCCAGGTCCTCAGGGAATCTCAGGCCTGGGACGGTGGTGGTGGCCAGGGGCTATGCTCCATCTGTAGGCCTCCAGGGCCCTTTGTGAGCCTGTGTGCCAAAGGCTTCTCTCAAGCTCTCCTAGCACCAGTGTTTCTCACAGTCCAGTCCCACGTCAGTCCCTGTGACTCTCTGAGAAGGCCTGCCTCCCCACTGAGATCTGTGAAGCCAGGGACCTCATTGGCTTGGTTCACCATTTTCTCTGTAAGGCCTAGCATGGTGTCTGGCATGAAGGTTCTTATTAATTATATTTACTTAATCACCTGGGATGAGTGGAAGAGAAGGCAGCCTGGAAGGTTGAAAAGGCTTTGACCTCAAAAAGGCTGAGTCCAAATCCCTGTTGCTCCACTAATTACAGACACGAATCCCTCTAACCACGTGAAGCCTCAGTTTATTTAATAGTAAAGGAGGAATAACACCTAATTCCAAGCTTGTCTTCAAAATGAAACAAGATAAAATATACAAAGTGCCTGGAATATGATAGGCAGTCAATGAAAATGAATTTTCTTGGCCTTTGTTATTACTGTTCAGTAACACTATTGGTGTTCTCTTAAAGTCCCTCTTCAACTCTCCTTTGAATCAGTGGCCCGCAAGGCAAGATGCTCATGTTCTGGGGTAGGGCTGGGGAGGGGAAGGGGCGGGGAAGGAGACAGAAGAAGAGAGTCAATGTACAGAAGAAAATGTGATACCTATTATTAATATATGTTTTTATCTAATCCTTTAAAAATTTATTTTTCTCAGTTATGTTTTAAAATGTAAACAATCCATCAATAAAGGCAAGACTGAATATGCCCTATAAATAGATACACATTTTGGGGCTTGTGCTCAAACTATTTTTACTTCAGATCTGTGGAAACCCATTGATTGTGCTCACCCGAATAGTGGCTGATTATTTTCCCCGAAATTGTAAATAGCACTCTTTTTAGCTGTTGAATGCATAGTTTTTGGAGCAATCAACATTATATTGATGTTTTCACTCACCAAAGTGGCAGACAGTATGTGTAGCTTGACTGCTCCCTTGGAGAAGATGGGAATATACTGTATGGGTACATGCCCAGCATGAAAGTGCATTTATACAAGATGTCCACATGGGCTTCCATAGCTGTCAGATCTGAGTGCATCACAGCAGACCCAGCTGTCCATCTGTCCCCAACCAGGAGGCCCTCTTAGGAACAAGTCCTGGCAGTTGGGGCAATGGGCTTCTTTGCCTCTTTTGCTTACTAGGTAGGAAGAATCACTCCCACTTTTGCCCCTTTTCAGCTTTCCAAGGCCAGGGCCGAGGGAGCAGCTCCCTAGCTGATGTGCACTGTGCTGAGGGCTTTGGGTCTGTTTCCACAGTCTGCCTCTACATCAACAAGCAGGCCAATGCGGGGCCCTACCTGGAGAGGAGGAAGCTGCAGCAGCTCCCCGAGCACTTCGGGCCTGAGCGGCCGTCAGCGGTCCTGCAGCAGGCCGTGCAAGCGTGCATCGACTGTGCCCACCAGCAGAAGCTGGTCTTCTCCCTGGTCAAGCAGGGCTATGGCGGTGAGATGGTCTCGGGTAAGGCTCTGGGGCAGGTGTATGAGGAGGGTATGGGTGTCTCTGAAGAGAAAAGCAGCCATGCCCTCTCTGGGGAGGACAGTGGCTGTGGCCAGAGTCTGGTCTCTATCTGGTGGGCTCCAGAGCCCTTCACGAGCCTGTGTGCTGAGAGCCTCCTTCAGAGCTCAAGGAGAAGATGCTCCCACATTTGGACAAGATGACCTCACCCCTGAAACCTCACCCCTGACTCCTCTTTCTCCCACCCCCACCTCCAACCCTCAGTAAGTCCTATTGCTCTAATCAAAATATATCTAGAATCCAGCCCCTTTCACCACCCACAGCAACCACTCTGGTTCTTTAAAAAATATAAGCCAGATCACGCCCATCCTGTGCCCCAGAGCCTCAATGGTCCAATTTCACTCTGAGAAAAAGCCCACGTCCTTACAAGGGACTACTGGCCCTATGTGACCTGGTTCTGACCACCTCTTGGATCTCCTGGTCACTTCTCCCAAGTCCCCCACCCTGCCCTGGCCACAGCTTCCTCCTTGCTGTTCCTCCCATGTCCTCCAGCCATGCTCATGCCCCAGGGTCTTCGCACCTGCTATTCTCTCTTTCTGGAATATTCTTCCCCAGCTGTCCATGTGACTTGCTCCTGAACTTCCTTCAGGTTTTTACTTGAATACCTCCTTGTTAAAGAGCTCCTTCTTGACCAGCTTATCAGCCCCTGTCACCCTTTATTCTCCTTTACTCTCCGTGCCTTTTTCATGGCACCGATCGCCATGCAGGCCAACTCCATCTCCCAGGGCATGTTTTTTTTTTAAACAAGAGCCTTCAAAGTCAATCCCTTCTCTCACTGTCATTGCCCATCTCCAGTTTCAGCCCCAACCCAATAGCTTCCAGAGGCAGCAGAAGTTGTCACCACAAGTGAGAGGCGGAATCAGGAGCTCTTCCCCCTTTAGATGTCTTACTGGAGGCGGTCTACACAGTGGTTGTCACCCTGACTCTAAGGGGACAGCGTGGTGTTTTCTCTGGCCCAACATCATGGGTACAGCCTCCATATCAACAAGGAAAAGGGATAAGATTCCCAGCAATGAGTCTGTGCTAGTGACCCTGCTGACTGGCCAAGATGGGGGAAAGAGGACTCCAATGTGGCTCCATCCTGAAGAACCAAAGCAGCACGTTTCATTCACTTATTCTTTTATTCATTCATTCCTTATTGTTGAAAGTATTACATATGTCCTCTTCCTGCCCCCCCCCCCCCCAACCCTTTATAGCCTGCCCCCACCTCCTGCTCTGGGCCTTCACCACCCTATTGTCTGTGTCCATAACTCCAGATCCCTATGGGCTGCCCACCTTATAGAGCTCCCTCTGAGCAGGAAGCTGGATCTGACTTGCTGGTAGTGGATTAAAATAGAGCTTGGCTAGGTCCAAGTGCATGTGTCTGACCCAGAGTGACTTTTAAGAGACTTTAGCAGATGTGAGCAGAGGTACAAGCACTGCACCGAGAGAAGCCAGGAGGAGAGACCTGCTACGAGAAGCTTCCAAGAGCTTCTTGGCCGTTCTGCTCCTGGCTTCTGTGTGAGAGCCAGGCTCTCTCCTGGGCTGCAACCTGAGATCAAATGCCTGTCCTTTTCCCTGCTAAATAGCAGGGCTCCAGACACAGGTGCTAAGAGAAAGCCCCTCCTGTACTGTGTGCCCACCTTCTTGAGCAAATCCCACCTGACTGATTCTTTATGGCTCCTGCCCTCAAACCTGGGAGAGCTGACCTCGTTTTCCTTGCTTTCTTGCTCAGCCTTTCTGTGGCCTCAGGGGCCTTGGTGCTGGGGAGGAGCTTCGGTGCTTCCTGGCACCAATGTGAGTGTGGGCAAAGCCTCGCCAAGTTTCCCTTGGCTGAAGGATTCCCAGGAAGGCCAGGGCTGAGCGCTTGGTCTTAGTGTCTTGGAGAACGCAGTAGCACCGAGGGGACTCCTCGTGCCACCACTTCGAGGCCAAGAAGTGACCAGGTGGCCTTTCACGTTACTGATGGTTAGGGTTAGGGTTAGGGTTAGGGTTAGGGTTAGGGTTAGGGTTAGGGAAGCTCAGCAAAGTTAAGTGACAGCACTGAGGTGATTTAGGGAAGGACTCAAGGAAAAATAGCCAGACACCCCCTGCCCTGCCCCCTACCTCCTCCCTCCCCCACACACTCTCTAACAAGAACCTGATCCTTGGGGCACTGCTTTCCAAATATTCTGATGGCAGAATACATAAAGAATGGTGACACAATAGGCCAAAGGAATCGAACTGCTGGGCCTCTGGAACCAGTCCTACTGTGCCCCACACCCACTCCCTGCACACCTGCTGGGATGCTCCACCTTACCACCCTCTCCCGCAGGGCCAGACTTTTTGATCTCACAAATCCATATCCTTTTCCAGGAGGTGGAATTCCCCCACTTATTTGATCTCCCAGGCTCCTCCAGGAAAGTATGTACAGCGATTTATGGGCCAGACCTGATGTCCCAGACCCTCCCACTGTGTGTTCAGTTTCCAACACACCCCGTCTCCTATGGTATTGGAGGCAGACAACAGTACCCACACCAGGAAGGAATTGCTAGGGCATCTGAATGGCCGAGATGACCCCTTGGTGAGCATTTGGGAGCTCCTTGGCTGCCTCTCTTAATCAGGGCCACCTGAAGCATGGAAATGACAGGCAAGTCCCTTTAGAGGCCCCAGGAGTTGGAAAAACCAGGCCCTCTGCAGCGTCCTCATCTGTAACATGGGGCCACCTTCCCACTTTCCTCACAGGACAGTCGGGAGGCCTACATGAGGTCCTGGGTATTAAAGCTCTTGTCACACTATAAAGGGCTACACAAGAGAAATGGGTATTTTTATTTGTTTTTGTGTTTGAAATAAAAACTAGCTCTGATCACCTCTTATATCTCCCAAAAGCTTAGCCTTGCTGAGTTTCCAATCAACTTAATCTTGGTTTCTAAATATCAATTGTCAGTAAATGGAACCAGAGCTGCTGGAGAAACGGCTGAGTTTAGGGCTGGGTCAGAGAAAAGACAAGATGAACTTGGAACATGTTGAAGTGACAGTAACTGAAGAGTTGCTAAAAAATGAGGGCATGTCATAGAGACACAGGTGTCATCCTAAAAGCTTGGACAATTTGATCAACAAAGTAAGTAACATAGTATTGGATAACCACAGTACAAAATAAATACAATGCGTCTGTACTGATAATAACAAATGATTGAACAAATAAATAAATAAGTGGAGGAGACAGACTTCTTCCTTCTATAAGGATTGTAAATGCTATAGAGACTCTCTCCCTCCAGAAGGTAGAGCTTAATTCCTCTACTGCTCTGGAGTGGGGAGGACCTTGTGACTTCTTTGTAAGGCAATAAGAAAATGGAGAGTGTAGAGAAGTGGAGCAAACGCTGTCTTGGCCAGAGGTAGGTTAAACCCCAGTGATGTCATGTACACCTAACCTGCTGCAATGAGGAGGCACTTCATCTCTGTGGTCTTCCTTCCCCAAACTCATCACCCCAGTCAAATAATGAGACAAAATTAGACAAACCCAAACTGAGGGACATTTTACAAAATATCTGACCACTACGCTTAAAAACTATCAAGGTCATGAAAAGCAAGGAAAAGCTGAGAACTAGCCACAAACCAGCAGGGTCCAAGGAGACACCACAACTACCCCCAAGGTGGTCTCCTGGATGGCATCCTGGAAAAGAAACAGGGCATTCTTGAAGAAAAAAACAAAAAACAAAAATAAACAGGTGGAATCCAAACGAAGGTGAGCTAGAAACAAAACTGAGCCAACAAAACCCCCCTCTCCAGGCCTGAGGTGTGTGGCTTTCCCCAGGGCCCTGCTCTGAGCCGCTGTCTGGTTTTCCAGTCTCGGCGTCCTTTGATGGGAAACAGCACCTGCGGAGCCTGCCTGTGGTGAACAGCGTTGGGTACGTCCTCCGCTTCCTCGCCAAGCTGTGCCGAAGCCTCCTGTGCGATGACCTCTTCAGCCACCAGCCTTTCCCCAGGCTCTCCAGTGCCTCCGAGGAAGCCCAGGAGAACCAGGAAGGCAGGATGGAGACAGGTAGGCTTTGTCCATCTGTCTTCCCCTTGCTGGCAGGTGGTCCCAGGTGGGCCTACCCTCCCGGGCCAGATGAGGCTGCTGCTACTGAGTTTGGTGAAAGAGTTTCTATTTTAAAAATCTGAGGAAGGATTTGGAATAAGCTTCCCACACTCTTTAACCACAGGTGCCAGGTGTTTCGAAGACACACAGCAAAGTTTGGGAAGCATCAATGTAGGGAACCCTCTTCTACGTGGAGAACTTGGCAGCTGAACAACCAGGTGGAACTCTCAGAAGATAGTTCCCTCAGAAGTCAAGTGGAGTTGACATTGTAAAGACCTTTCAAAGTCAAAGCCACCCAAGGCTGCTTGGGTGGTAGTGATGTCCCCACTATTGGTGACACATGTAGGTGTCCAGTTAGGGCCAGAAGGGGGAACTCTGGCAAGATGCTCTTTCTGGTCCCTTTCAGGTTGAGTCACCTGTGGAAATGTCAGAGGGTAGTGCTGGACAGCAGGAGGTCAGGGGGTCCCAGAAGCCCCAGTGAGGGGGCCTTTCAAGGTGAAGGTGAGGAAACTAAGAGAGAGGGCTCCCATTGGATCAGGGAAAGAGCTTCTTTCAAACCCTCCCTCAGACTTTTGAAATATAAACTCTTTCACCAAATGATCTTTCTTCTGTGTCCAGGGGAAACCAGGCTTCAGACCTACTCAGCCGCCTAAATTCAGTCTGGAAGGTAGTTCTTGGCTTGAGACCAGAGACTTAGTCATTTTTCTCCAGGTTTATTAACTGACGGCCATCCATGGTTTGTGTTTTAGAAACTAGAGCAGCTCTCTGGGTGCTTCAGGAGAATGGAGACAGAAACATGGACCTGATAACATTTGTGGTTCGGTTAGATGTCATGAAATGATTAAGGGGAAAAGTGTACCTTACCTTTGAATATTGAAAAAAGAAATATCTCAATTATAAATAAGTTTTAGCCAGTGCTTCTGAAATTTTAATGTACTCAGGAACCATCTGGAAATGTTGTTAACAAGCTGAATCTGGCTCCGGGGGGTGGGGGTGGGGTGGGGTGCGGGGTGCTGGAGTGAGCCTGAGAGTCTGCCTTTCCAGCGAGTGCCCAGGTGCTCTCAGTGCTGCTGCTGGTTGGGGGCCACACCTTGAGCAACAAGGATGGGCTGACCGAGTCCTGCTTACACAGGAAAATGTACTTCGTGTTTTCAGTAAAATAAGTTTTCCTCTGCGAGGACAATGCCTGCCCTGTAAAAGTGTTATCACTAAAGCTAACCCAGTGTCCCATGGAGGTAACCATGGGCTGGAAAGGAAGATAGGGTCATAAGGGATCAGAGAGGTCGGGTTGGGCACATGTGCAAATACAGATGAAAAAGAGGATGTTTGCAGGGCTGGGGAGGAGGGGAAAGAAAGGAAAGCAACTTTCTCAATGTGGACTGGCAACTACCTGCAGCAGGGCCTCTGCTCCCCAAGCCCTGTGTACACACCCACAGTGGCGCTTGATCCTGGAATTTGGGTTCAGATCTCATCGCTCTGCTAGAGAGGCCTGGGGAGAGGACCACACAGTTCCCAGCAGAGCCTGAGTCCTAACGAGTCTGCGGTAAATATTTACTGACTTAAGTTGTGTGCAAGACAACAGACCAAACTGTCTCCTCAGCAGGAGTAGGGGTGATCTGGAAACCACAGATGTGGTAGCTGAACGTTTCTGCAGGACCTAATGTAGAGATTGGTTTCCTGCCTTTTGAAGGTGCGACATGATGGGAACAAACAGTTTACTTTTTGTCGAGAAGCTCTTTTGATACTCGGGTGGTAGGGGAGGGAGGTAAGGAAGGACATTTATGTGTGAGGCTTGATGCTTTTGTTCCTTGGCTGTGGTGTTTGAGCTGGAAAACTACTGGAGAAGCAGGCACTCCCAGTGTGTTTCATTATGGTGGGACTTACGCACCCAGCATTGAGGAACCAAATCTGCTTCCATGTTGAACTACAAATCTGTCTACTATCATAGCTCTACGGAGAACATCTACGTTTCCAAAAGACTGTTTTTCCAAAGAGGAAACAAAGTTTGTCCAGTGGCATGAGTTCCTTGACACAGAAGCATCCATTGAGTGAGTCGGCAGTCATTGATTGGGCTCCCCCTACTTGTGATGCACGAAAGCCAGAGAGCCGAGGCCACACAGAAAGGAAGTGGGGAGAACCCTGACCCTTTGCTCTTCCTCCCCAGCTGGTCTGTCTGCAGGGTCCTAACACTTGTTGCGGGGCGGGGGGATGTCCTATTTCCCAGTGGAGGAACCTGACGCACAAAACACATGTTCGCAAGTGGCTTGTGGTAGGCACACCTGTGTCAACTTCTTCTAGCAAAGGTGTAAAAGAACAAAACATGCTGAAACCAGTTTGGCTCAGTGGATAGAGCGTCAGCCTGTGGACTGAGGGGTCCCGGGTTCAATTCCGGTCAAGGGCATGTACCTTGGTTGCAGGCACATCCCCACGGGGGCTGTGCAGGAGACAGCTGATAGATGTTTCTCTCTCATCGATGTTTCTATCTCTCTATCTCTCTCCCTTCCTCTCTGTAAAAAATCAATAAAATATATTTTAGAAAAATAAAATAAAAATAAAAGAACAAAACATCCCCCAGCTCCCATTCAGCAAAATCTCATAGGTGGAAACTGCATTCCAAGCACACTGATCCTCTGTTCTCCTGGCTTCTCTAACTTGGCCCCAAGGAGTGTTTCGTCCTCATCCTTGTGCTCCAGCTATGTCCTTGCTGGGTAACATCCAGGGGCCAGGCAGAGCCCGTCATTCCAGACACAGGAGCACTTGCTCTGCAAAACCCACACCAAGTGGCCTGCCCCGCCAGACACGAGGCACAGTTTGATCTGATGCTTTAAATGATGATGAAAAGAGAGATGGGAAAAGGAAAGGAAGGAAAGAAGAGTGTTACTCCGGATTTCACCGCAGCTGTGGTCTCCTGGTGCAGACCACTGATTGGTACATGGCAGAGCTGTGTTCGTCCCGTCACAGCCGTGGGCCATGGGAAGAAGGTGAGCTGTCTGGGTCTCAAGCCGAGGGGGTCATTTGGAAGGAGAACAAAGTATCAGTGTCAAGCTCAGGTCTTAAGAACCCTCACAGAGAGTTTGATGGAAAGCTTAAAGGAAGTGTGTCCATAAATTCTGTATCAGATTCTAAGGCCTCATGTATCTTCCGAGCATGGAGTAGAGAGCATTTGCCAATGCAGGGTTCCTAATCTGAGTTCTGCCTGTGTGCCAATAGGATTCATTTAGGGAAAGCTATTAATTATATTTTCAATGATGTTATTCATTAAATTCTAATATTGGTACATGTTTTAAAACATTGAGTCAAAGGGAAAAATATAACCTCTATAGAAAAGCCTGGCTTTTGTAACTTTAAAATAGACTTTTTACAATGTTCACTAATCTATTGGATTCCTTTCCATTAGAAGGCTTAGGTTCTCCTTTGAGTCCTGTAGATACCAAGGAAGCACAAGATACGTATTCAATAATTATTGGTTAAAAGAATGAATGAACGAATGAATGACTGTTCCAATTAAGTTTTGAAACCTCCCACAGTATGTCAAATCTGGGACAGAGGGCATGATATTGAATCATGTTAACCAATTTCATAATATTTTAATAGAAAGTGTTTATATTAAAATGCAACTAAAAAAATTAGGATCACAAGAGAAATCATTTTGTGGATTAAAGATGCCAAGACCCAAGATCAGAGGAGCAAAATGGTGACAGCAAATGTCCATGAGGCTCTTGACTATTTGGAGAGCTCCTTCTGTGAGGGGCTGAGGAGGAAAACACGAGCCCATAGAAAGAGGACATATGGACTCCTTCTTCCTACAGGGCTGGTCTCAGAAATTCTCTGAAACACACCTCTGCTCCTGCCCCATGCTCTCTCTTCAAATAAAGTATCTACTAGCAATCTGCTTCTTTGTGAGGTTAACTGTGCCTCATGTGACACCTCTACTCATCAGTCCCCATCTGGCCAGACAAGGGGACTCCTGGGTCAGCTGCAGAGGCCTCTGTCCAAAGAGTCTCCTGTCTGTGATGGAAGGGACATAGGGGATGGGCCAGGCCTCGAAGGAGATCCAAGAAGATGGTGACCAAGTTCTCCAATCATACATCAGAACTCAGAAACCACAAGACGGATGGGAACAAAGGACCAAGTATAATATATGAGATGAACTAGTAGCCGTTCCCAAACCCTCAGGGCTCCTAGTAGCTATGATTGAGACTATCTACCCTTTTGGACTGTTCCCCTGGACCGATACCCTGTGGCAGGCCCTAAGGCAGTATCTGCCTCTTCGCATTTCCACACCAGTGTCTTCTGGCCAGGCAATCAGAATGAGGGTAAAAATGGCAGAGCATGCCAAGAGGAACTAAAGCAACTTAGTAACCCAGTAAGCTTCTAAGATAAACTCACACGCTCTCTCCTCTCAGTGGGCAATTTCTGGGTCTCACCCCTAAGCTGTAAACCCTTTGCTGAATGCAAACCCATAACTTTCCTGGCAGAGAACTGGGCAGCTATTCCATAGCAGATACAGCCTAGCTGCTACTGAATTAATAATCACAGCTTCCATTTGGGATATGCAGGGTCAAGAGGAAGGAGACAAATCATCTCACCCCATCTGTATTAGTTACCTTTGCTGTGTGACAGCACTTGGTGGTTTCAAATACCATTAGTTACCTCACAGTGTCCGTGAGTCAGGAGTCAGGCGCAGCCGGAGTCCTCTGGCCTTGTGTCTCCCGCACATACGGTTGCAAGGACCTCAAAGCCCAACGAGGGAAGAATCCGCTTCCCAGCTCGCTCACGGGATCCCAGGCAGAATTCTGTTTCCCACCAGCTTTGATTCCTTGTAGTTGAGACCTCTCCACAGAGCACCCCGAGACGAATACTTGGAAGTATAGAGAGCCCTCCTAAAAGTCAGGGTGTCCATTTAGAACTGAAACTTACAAGGCATCCTCTCTCTATTCCAGGACTCAGCATTTCTCTGA